TGATCTTGTAGGAAATAGAATGAGTAGTTTACGGGGAGCATTCGAAAGAGCACTCTCAACCATACATCTGCTTGCGCCGGAGTGAGCAGTTGCCAGATTGGTTGAATTGTGTGTCGCATGTAATGTCTAATTTTCCCAGGAGTGTCGAGCTCTCTCGAGTGCATGGGGTGTGTTTTGGCTAGAGGTTATACAGCAGTTTGATCCATTGAAGGGAGCGTGGCCCAAAGTTAAAGCATTCGAGAGTGTCCAACATAAACTCCTAGTTGATGCGGTCATACGCTTTTTCGAAATCTAGAAACATAGCGTAGCCTTCTTCATCATCCAAAGTATGCTTGTGTTGGAGGTCTCGCAAGAAGATCACATGATCATGAATGCGACGACCTTTGACAAAGCCATTCTGAATCGGGTGTATAATTTGGGGGAGAACCGCGTTGACTCTGTAAGCTAGGGCTCGTGTCAATGCCTTGACCTCGACTGGGATTAACGAAATTGGGCGATAGTTTCCCGTGTTGCGGCGGTCACCACCTTTGAATAGTAGTGACACCGCTGATCGTCTCTGAAAGCCGAGCAATTCGCCTCTGTCCAGCTGATACGTGAAAACTAGGCTTAGAATTTCGCCAAAGAGAGCAGGATCTATCTGGTAGAACCCGGCGGAAAATCCATCCAAGCCCGGAGCTTTCTTGGGGTCTAGTTTTGATGGCGCTGGCCAGCTCCAAACTATTGAGTGGTTGATCCAAGCCGTCTCTCTGCTCATTCGTCAGCTTTTTGCGTAACAGACGTAAGAATCTCCTTCTTTCCCGCCTTGGTGGTGGTTGGAAGTCTCTCTCGCACATAACCTCACTCCACCTGGAGTGAAAAGCACGTTGAATTTGGACTGGGTCTCTTGTGTATGTTCCATCTCCGCGTTGGACCTCCACAATTGGGATATTGTATAGTTTGCGTTTTGGAGGTCGAAAGAAGGTGCAGTTGGATTCTCGTTTTGAGAGGCATGGAAATCAAACTGAATATCATTTTGGTGTTGAGTCCAATCTGCCATGGTAGCCTCGTATGCTACTTTGGCAGTCTAAGCTCGTCATCTCGGATGCGTCTTTCATTGTGACCTCTTTGAGCTTTCTGCCAAGTAATCTCGGCATAGTCCCGCTCGTATGTTCTTTGTGCTATGACTTGTGTGTGATAGGATTGCAAAAACTTTCTGGTGCGCTTCTTCCAGCCTGCCCACACGACGCCTACATTGTCGGCTGTTCGAAGTTGGTCCAAGAGGTCCTTTGCTTCCGCTTTGATTGAGTTTGTGACTTCTGGGATAAGCAATAATTCCTTTGGCAACTTCCAATAGGAGCGTGAGCGTGTGGTGCCGCTAGGCTCCAGCAAAAGGCTATGGCATAGATGATCTGTCGGATCTGGACAGGGAAAGTAGCTCGAATCTTTGTATGTCCTTTCTACGAGTAATGCGTCCGCAAAAATGTAATCCAGTCTGTTTTTGCCTTTTGGTGATGAGAATACTTGTTCCCCAGGGTGGTGAAGTCTCCATGCGTCCACCACACCTAAACTTGCTAGCCAAGAGACACATTCTCCTCGTCCAGAGTGATGAGTGCATTGGCTGGCTGACGCGTCAATCTCTCTATCCATTGGGATGTTGAAATCACCCGCAAGGATATGTAAGCCTTCTGGGTTGAACTGCCGAGGGAGGTTTTGGATAAATGATTCACGTATTGCGTTTGAGACAGGGGCATAAACATTGTGTACGTATACGTCCTGGTTGCCCAATTGAGTGTGAACCACCATGTATTTGTCTCTGACATCATACTGGGATAAGTGTGTAAGTTTGGAGAACCCAGGAAAATCCTTTTGGAATAGGAGCATGACCCCTCCACTTCTTCGAGATTCGGTCTCCTCCGCGTCACTTCGGTGGTCGTTGACTGCAAGGAGATAATTGCCTACCCCAAGGATATGATCCAAGTGGTAGCGGACCTTTGCATACTGAAATTTGTCTGCCAGTTTTGTTTCCTGGAGAGCTATCACTGTGTGGCGACTTAGGAGCTTTCCAATGAGGCGATGTCCATTGTCCTTGAAGCCATTGACATTCACCGTCAAGATGGACAATTCAGAGGAGATGAGCTGCGTGAATGATCGAGCTCGAGATTCACAGGTTGTCTGACTTTGTGAGGTTGTGGGGGGGTTGTATCTGCAGGCGGAGGTAGTGTGGAAGTTATTGTTGGCGTTGTTTGCTGTTGAGGGGATGACCAGTATGTTTGAGAGAATGATGCGCCTTACGTGTGGTATGGAGTTCCAAACTCGAGTGTCGGAACTTTGCCAGGAATAAACATAAGCATACTGCTATCGTCATAGCTATAGTTATGCTTTTGGAGTACTGTTAGAATTTCCGTCAACCCATTGGGGCATGATACGTGTAGACTCTGAACGAGCTGGTGTCCAAACGTAGAATGAAGGATTCTCCATAGGGTTGTGGAAGCTACCATAGGAGCAGCCTTGACGACAGGTAGCCATATCACAGGCTGATTACTCACCGACACGAGCCATGCTTCACTAAAGTAGTATGGTGATACTTGAGTTGCAAGAATGATTTCAAGTGCTGCTAATGCCAACTCTATGTCCAGCAATGACATATCCAACGCTGGGGGACAAGACGCTCGAACAGCGACCTGAGCTCCAAATGCTGCTTGTAAAAAGTCCATTGTTGGAGGCGTAGAAAATATCTCCATGAATGTGGCTTGAAAAGAGACCACTTTTGGGAGAGCTGATGCTACCGTCCATCTGTGCCATGCATGCAGCAGCGCTATGGCCCGTATGTCCAGTGCCGCTCATGCTAGCTCGTGCTAGTGTCCAATTAGCTTTATGGGGGTCAGCACCTATCCACTGCCACAACCCAACAGGTTCGGCATTGTTTAAAAAGGCGGTAATGTCCTCAAGTGGCTTGACACTGGCTGCCTCTAGTTCCTGGGAATTTCTCGTGTCATCGAGAGAGTCCGACAGACTTTCCAGTTCTTTTACGATTTCCTTCATCGTCATGTTGTTAGGATGCCATTGCATGCGGTTGTGTCGCACCCTCATGCGTCTGATGCTAGTTCTGCCATGAAATGTTGTGGGAGAAGGTATTTGCATGTCGACGATGTATGAGCAGACTGTAACATCTTTCTGTAGAGCAACCACCCGAGGCGCTACTGTGAGCGTGCTCAGCGCCTCATACATATTTGGAGTAATCCATGATGGCTTCTTTCCTTGTGTGGATGCGTCCTCCCTCGAGCGTTTGAGAGGTTTCTTCGGTTGGATAAATTCATCCACATCCATCTCCGTTACTAAAGTTTGAAAGCCTCCGCCGTTGTTTGTGTATGTTCATTCTGTTGCGGGGAAGGATCGGAGACTTGGTCCCCAGTGTGTTTCTCCTGTTCCTCGGAGCCAACCCTGGCTCATTTATTTCCATCGCTCTCCATGGACTCTGCTGGTTGAGCCAACAGTTTATCAAGATCGATGCAATATGAAGACAGGCGACTCTGTCTTGTTGTTGTTGGTTTGATGTAGTCTTTCACAAAGACCCCATATGTCACACCCTGTAGAATAATTTGGTCGACGGGGTGCTCGTTGATGAGTAGTGCGGCCGGTTGTGATGCTTTATTGAAGTATACCCGCCATAGATTGGGATGTACTGTTGAGTTGTGTACCTTCGATGAGTACGTCATTTTGTAGCTGATGAAAACTGGATTTGTTTTCAATCGTCGCAGAGCTTTGAGCAATGCGTGAGCATCAAAGTTATAGCGTGTACCCACGACGTCCATGTAGTCCTGTAGTTCCGTTTGTTGTCGTTGGTTTGTCGGACGACCTTGCTTTGGGGTAGGAGCGGAGACTTTATACTCTTGACCGAGTATTACCACGCTTTGTCCTAGCATACCGAGTCGTCTTGTCTCGTCAGTGACGGTGACCACCACATCTCCGCCACGGGCCTTATTGATTTACACAAATTCTGACATCAATGGGCTCCATGTGGCATCTTTGTTGTCATTGAACAAGCTTTTGATGATTTTGTCATTCGATTCCGACATCAGATTGTTTCCAGTTTCAATCCAGAATGTAGCCGCACCCATTCTCTTTGGGTATGGTAAGGCTTGTTCAATTGCCGAAAACATCGTATCATCCGTGGTACTTTCATCCTCGGCCAGCTGCATAAGCGTGGCTAACATTTCACGACTGGGTCGAGTGAGAAAGGCTTTAACCTCGCTGTCATTCGATCGTTCAACGGCACGACGCAGCGTCGATGCATACGAAAGCTTTTCCTTTGGGGCACCCGCGAACGATGCTGAAGGCTCACTCAGGTCAATCACTTGTCTTTTGGGTTGCTCCGTGTTTCCATTTGGTTCGGACAGCTGGTTGTCGTCATTCGTCACATTCGTTTTGATTGGTTGTTGATGGATGATAGTCCCATCCCCCTCTTGAATTGGAGCGAAGGGCGGGATCTCCAGGAGCGCCGAGCGGCCTCCACCGGCTAGCGGCGCCATCGATCCAACCAGGACAGCAGGCTTGCTTTCCCCGGTGTCAAGAGCGACGGTAGGTTGCAGAGGCGAATTCCCAGCAGTGGAGTCGTGGAGCTCATCGCTAGCGATGGACGCGCCGTCAGGTTGTCCGAGCTCTCTCATCCTCACGCCGCTTTGATTCATTTCCATGTTGTCGGTACTGGTTGGGGGCAGCTCCGTCTTTCTCACTTGTTTTGTAGCGTATTCTGTCTCGGACCGATCGATCATGGACGCATCATGGGCTGGTTTGGGGTTCTTGTCAAGATATGCCTGTGCATTTCCACTTACCCCAGCCTCGCGGGGATTGTGGTGCATGCCGTCCACTTGAGCTTGCGTAATATCGAGCGCGCTGTCCACACGCATGGCTGGCGGACTCATCGTCATTGGATTCAAGTTGTTCATCGTTCTTCGTTGCGCTTGGAGTGCTTGAGAGTTGGTACCTTCGATCAGTATGTGTAACACAGTAAAAAAGAAAGTTGGGGGGTGTAGCGCAGTGGTAGCGCGTCCGCTTTGCATGCGGACTTTCGTTTTTGCTTTGTAGGTTAAACTACCACAGCCCCCCAACGGAAAATCTTGCTTTTTAGGTGCTTTCGACAACGTCATGGCCTCTAGCGCGAAAAAAATCATCCTTTCGACGGTGTCTCGATTCGCTCAACGTGAATCGACGCCTGACCCTAGCCAAGCGACGCCCGGTCCGAGCCGAGAAGCCGCTGAAAAACCTCCTTCCTCTAGGAACAGCGCCGCTGCGTCCGACTCTCTTCGTAGGGAAAATGTTTCCAACCAAGATGGTGTTGACTTAGGTGGTGACACTGGTCCAAATATGGACAAAAAAATGGATCCGAGGATGCAGGAATTGGTATGGAAATTAATGGTTCCAACGAAAAACCTGCCTCTGACGCCAATGGTGGCAAATTACCCAAGGATTCTGACAAGCCTGGGGAGAATATTACCCATCCTGACGGCACCCCTCATGGACGAGTTTTACCTAATTCGAAAAATCCCTCCAAAGCTGGGACAAACCCTCCTGCCAAACCCTCCAACCCCAAAAAACAAGCTTCGTCCAACAACGAAGGCAAAAAAACCAACTCGAAGAAAAATAATGTATGGGAAGGAGCCCGTCATGTGAAAACCCAATTGGTTCGCAACACTGGTGGGCATCCCATTGACGACTCTGAATTGGAAGAATTAATTCGACAAGCTCGAGAATTCCGCAAAACCCTACTGCTATGGATGAATTCATTGAAGACATCTTGAAAACTCCATCCTCGAAGGCTTGCACTGTGGACATTCCTCTGGGAGAAGCTTTCCGTCAAGTCAAGGACTACCAAATCCGAGCGAATTTAATTACCCAAAACCCGGGTACGCTTTGGGAATCGAAATTCAAGAAAATTTTGTTCCACAAGAAAAACCCGACTACTCTCTCTTTGACGTTTTATGACGATGGTTTATTGCGCAAAACTTGTGGAACCTCCCTTCGTCTGGGAAAACAAGAATTTACTGTGCCTGAATATTCTCCCCACTCGAAACTTTATTTTATTACTTTCAACAACCTGGTGGATCACGATATTCAAAAAGCGATTTTGAAAAAGTTGGAAGAGCTCACTCACTGCGTCATTGTTGGTTTTAACCCCAGTACTGACAATTTATTACGCTCGACCCAATTTCGAGTCCTTTTTGACTCCGAAACTCCTCCTTTGGCATTGGTACCAGATGATGGAGACGAGCCTCTGAGAGAAATCGAGATCCAAAACCAAGTTTATGTTTTCAACATAAAATTCGGTCCCTCAATCAAACGGTCCCTCCCAGCGTTCAAGCTAGACTGGAAAAAGCCAAACAAAAAGACGACGCTAAAAAGAATACAGACCAAGTCGAGGAAAACGCTACAGAGGAAAAAACTGATGCTCCCGAAAATCCATCGACAGAAAACCAACCACCCAACACCCCGAAGGAAAATACTGGCACAACTGGAAACTCCGAATCCCCTAATGCCGATCCCAAGGAAAATCAAAATGACAAGGAAAACTTTGTCGACCTGTCAAGCGATGTGGACATGGAACAAGAGGAGAAATCAAATATCGAAGAGGAAGAAATGGTAGCTCAACCCAAGAAGATATTAAATCCTCCACAATCACCCAAGGGCTCGAGCGAGAATAATATTATTCTCACAGACAAACCCAATTTATCCCAGGACGAATTTAAACCAACTCGAGCCGGTTTTATTCAAGGTCCCCAATACAAAATATCAGCTACCTCGATTCCAACACAAAATCGATTCGCTATCCTCAGCTCAGACGACTCTGACGTGACAACACCAGGCACAACGGTTCCTCGATTCCATCTTGATATCGTTCCTACCGACACGCCCAAAAAACGTCCTGCTTCGTCCCCAAAATCAACGATACCCAAAAAAATTCCAGCCTCTACGAAACCAGCAGGAGCCAAAGTGAAGGCTCAAATCACAGAGCTGAAGAAAAAACTGAATGAATCCACCAACCCATTGGTATTTCATGATGAAACCCTCAACCAACCTGGCATTATTGGAAATATCTATATGGACCCAAAATCTCGCAAAATCGCATCCAATTTAATTGCCTCGAGAGGAATTATACGTTTAATGGCTGGAGAAAATCCCATGCAAGCTATTGATGAAGAACGATTTACCTCGTACTACCAAAAACAGCATGGCCATCCTCCTCCTGAAAATTACACCCCCACAAATCTATTCCAAAGTTTGTGTCCAAATGACGAAGACTACCACATGAGAATATCTCTAGCAGCAATCGATCTATTTCTGTCCAACAGAGCACCTGAAGCTTATACGAACGATGAGTATATCAATCTGTGCCTGAAAGACAAAGTCCACCGTTGGCCCAATTGCAATTTAATCACGGACGCCTCCTTGATTAAATTAATTTCCAGTCCTGCTGCTGGAAATCTGGTGCAACATCATAAAATTGAAGAAGAGTTGAGCCATATTGTGAAAGATCTGGCACTCCAAACAATTGACCCTACGAAGTGTTTTGACTCGGATACTGATGCCTTGTTAACTTTACTTCCGGACGAAAAGGCTCCTGAACTCGAATACAAAGACTCTGGCGATGGTGACAATGCAGACTCCAATTGACTCGCCAACACACAAAATCAATTAAAACCACAATCACCACACCCCGACCCAAACCAACACAACGACTTGAAGTCAAAAAATCAAAACCCAAATATTAATCATGACCGTGACCACAATTAACGCGCTACCACAAGCCATTATCGACTGGGATATTAGCTTGTTTTCTCTCAACACAAATGGTCTCTCCAACTCTTTCCACCACCTTCTCAAGAACTTTCTCCTCAAAAACTCTATCTCACTTATCCAAGAAACTCGACTGCCTTACCCCAGCGACCATGGCAAAATCAATTTCTACTGGAAAAAACATACCAACCAACAAGGCACTTTCTTCTACGAGGAGCCAATTTATTCCATCAGCAATACCTCTCATCCTACTGGAGGCCTTGCTACATTTATTCATCCTGACTGCCCTCTGGACAATTGCACCAATTTAAACCACTCTTGGGACAAACCTCTCCTCCGTGGTCGTTATTTACTTATATCGGCCACTCTGGACAATATCCCGGTTATTATTCACAACATCTATGCTCCGTACGACTATCACGACCGTGTGGATTTTTTTAATGATCTGCCTCGCAGATCATTAAAAAAATCCACTGATTTTCCACCCGAAGCCTTTCATATTGTTGGTGGCGACTTTAACGTTATTTTCTCCCCAGCATTAGATTCATGCCGTCCTTCGAATCATGCGACCCATGGCTCATATGAACTCAACCTATGGCTACAAGATTTACACCTCGTTGACATTTTTCGTCAACAAAATCCACTGAAACGTGCTTTCACAAGTCCAAAATTTGTCAATCGGCTTGACTATAATTTCATCTCGTCTGCTATGGCATCCCTACGTCATCTGAAATTTCGTCACCTGGAACTAATTCCTCATGCTGACCATACTCCCTGCAAATTATTGACCAAACGTCCAGCAGTATCAATGGGGCCTGGTCCATGGAAAACACCACAATGGGTTCTCAACAATGACAAGGCCAAATTAATTATCTCTCGTCAACTTGAAACCTTCCTTACCAAGACCCAATTAAACTCAAATGTTCGTCTACATTTCGACACCATGATCACCAACATGCGAAATCAATTAAAATACCTACACGACGAGTTGGTCGAAAATCAACAAAGGCCTCTCAAGAAATTATCTATGGATTTGGCTTTATTGATTCGGGATTACCAAAACGCCCCATGTGCGTCCTTGATGGCACGTATCAAAACAATTCAAGCTGCCATACATGAATATCATGACAGGAAAAAAGTCCTACGGGAAGATACTGCTATGCAAACTCATCTCGAGAAAGCGGAAAGGTGTACCAAATTTCAACTGAAGCCACCTCGCACAATCCCTTTACAAAAATCTCCCTTCAAGGCACTCAAAATGTCCAATGGAAATATTGCTTCTGATCAACAATCAATTTCCTCGACACTCCACGAGTTTTATTCTGACCTGTATGGCGACCATGAGGCAGTTGACAAGGAAAGAATGACCAAGTATTTAAAAACTCTGATCTCGCCGACTCAATATCGACGACAAGAGATGTATTGGAGCTCCTCTCACGGCAAACGAATTTTATTTTGCCATTAAACACTCCAAACGGAATTCAACTCCTGGGCCAAATTCACTGCCCTACGAAATTTTGAAAATGTTTCCCCATGAATGGTCCCTGGCTTTGGAAATGCTATACTATTACCAAATCAACTCTCACTCCAACTTGGCACCCTCCCAATTGACAAGTTTAATTGTACTGCTGTACAAAAAGGACGACAAACTACTCCCAAAAAATTACCGTCCCATCAGCTTGGTCAATATCGACGTGAAAATCCTCACAATGGTCCTTGCAGAACGAATGCAGAGAATCATTCAGTCGATAGTCCACCCGGATCAAACAGGTTTTATTCGTGGTCGGTCAATCCAAACCAATTTACTGCGCTTGGAAGACCTGAATCACTTTATGAAGTTTTATTCCCTCCGAGTCTATTGTGGCCCTCTTGGACTTTGAAAAAGCCTTTGATAGGGTCAACCATTCCTATTTATTGGCAACCCTGAAGGAATTTAATTTTCCACCGTCCTTTCTCAACATGGTCAAAGTGCTTTATTCAAATCGTCGTGGACGAATTATTGTCAATGGACATTTATCCAACCCATTTAAGATCCAACGTGGTGTTTTACAAGGCGACCCATTATCACCTCTTTTATTTGTCTTGGTGCTAGAACCTATGTGTTTAGCCATACGCAAGAGAAAAGATTTGGGCATACGAATTGGTCATCACACTCACACCGGGAGCTATTATGCAGACGACTCCCAATTGTACTCCAAAAATGCATCGACGTTGCAACTCCAACTCGACATCGTCAAAAAATTCTGTGATGTCTCTGGTTTCAAGTTAAATCTCTCCAAGACAGAATTATTAACCCATGCCAATTTACCTCCAGACC